TGCTTGGGGCGGCAGAAATGCTGGAGCCGGCCCTGCACCAATCTATCTATTGTTCATGCATTGCCAGAACCCCTTCTCAGTTGTTCACATGTCTGTACCTCAGTAACTCCCCTGACTCTGCAAGAGCCTCCCATTCCTACCCTCTACTCCTCATTCTGTTTCCCATTCACAGTCAGACTCTTGCTCTTCCAGAATCTTCCATCCCTACAAACACACCCCTGACTGACTGCCCAAAACTAAGAGCCCAGAGCTTCCTTCCCACCCCCCTGTGCTATTCCTCACTAACTGCCAGTCTATTCTCTACCCCACCCCCATCCCACCACCACCTCCTGGAACTGCCCTGGCTCTGGCAGAATCTTCTAGCCCCTGACTCCATGATCTGCCCCCAGCAAAACCAAGCTCTTCCAGAATCTTCCATCTCTATATTCCTGATGGCCATTCAGTCTGTGCTTCACTAATAAAACCCATTACTTCTAAAAGCTGTCCTCCACACACCATCCCTGACCTGCCGTCCTGCTAGTCTGCCCTCTGCCCCCATCTTATTAACTGCCCCAGCCCTGCCAAAATCTTCCCCACTCCCCTCCACAGCCCTGGTGATATCCCTAACTGCTAATCAATTCCCCACCACCCGCTGGCCCCCATCCCACGAGCCTAGCTCTGTCACAAACTTTCCTCCACTGTCCCCATCACTGACTTACTGCCAGTATCTCCCCCCTCCCCCCGCCCTTCACAAACAGAACTCAGCACGTCCAGAACCTTCCTTCTCCCCATATGCCTGGCTGACAGTCGGCTCTTCACAAATGGAAGTTGCTCTTACAGAAACTTCCATCCACCCATTATGAACTCGAGTGCAAGTCTGTGTCCCAGACAGAGCCCCACTCTTCCACAACATTCCTCCCACGCCCCTGACTGCCAGTCTGTCCCCCCACACCCCCCCCTCCCCCCCCCCCCCCCCCCTCCCTCCCTACCTGCCAGTCTGTCCCCCACAGACAGAGCCCCGCTCTTCCCGACCCTCCCCACATCCCTGACTAACTGCCAGTCTGTCCCCCACAGACAGAGCCCCGCTCTTCCAGACCCTTCCCCCCCATGCAGAGAGAGATTTACAGTAAAACACAGGGTGCCCTGGCATGGGGTCCCCCAACAACAACAGTCCCAAGGGCTGGGCAGCTGCGGGGGCAGAAGCTTGGTCCTGCCAGCTTCTGGGGCTCCTGCTGCAGGCTCCCCTCCCTTCCTGCCCTTTTTTTCTCCCCATCTACCACCAGAGCCACCTGTAATGAAAGTGGACATTTACTTTTATGAACAATACATGCAGGGGTTTAAATGCTTCCCCTGGGCCAGAGAAAGCAGGTGGTGTTTGGGACATGGAGCCACTAGGGCTGTCTAGGTTCCAATCCACATGGTTGAATGGGAGACCCTACAGAACAATGGAAACCTCAATGCCTGGACATGAACACCTACCTGTGATGGGTTCGGTCACAGAGACCCCCTTGGGGCTGTCACCTGACGTGCTGAATTTGCCTTTGAGCCCATTTTTCCTGCCAGCTTGGGACTCCAGAACCCTGCCTTGTTGAGCCAGACACGCTTGCCAGCTGCAAACACAGACCCAGGTCTGGCCCACACCCCCAAAGTTGCAGACTTTAACCAAAAACTGCTCAGCAGGTCACCTATCTCCAGCATCCAGATACTCAACTCCTATTGGGATCCAAACGCCAAATAAATCCTTTTTACTCTGTATAAAGCTTATACTGGTAAACTCATAAAATGTCCGCCCTCTATAACACTGATAGAGATCTGCACAGCCGTTTGCTCCCCCAGATATTAATCACTTACTCTAGGTTAATTAATAAACAAAAGTGATTTTATTAAGTATAAAAAGTAGGATTTATGTGGTTTCAAGTAATAACAGACAGAACAAAGTAAGTTACTAAGCAAAATAAAACATAACACGCAAGTTTAAGCCTAATACATTAAGAAATTGAATACAGGTAAAATCTCACCCTCAGAGATGTTCCAATAAGCTTCTTTCACAGACTAGACTCCTTCCTAATCTGGGCCCAATCCTTTCCCCAGTACAGACCTTGTTAGTTCCAGCAGGCATCTTAGGTGAAAAGCAGGGGATTTCACATGATTGGGCCCCTTTGTTCTGTTCCACCCCCTTTTATAGCTTTGGTACAAGGCAGGAATCCTTTGTTTCTCTCTGGGTTCCCTCCCCTCCTTCTAAATAGAAAAGCACCAGGTTAAGATGGATTCCAGTATCATGTGACATGGTCACATGTCCTGTGAGACCCCAGCCTTCATCCTTCCAGCACTGGCCTGCACATACCCAGGAAATTTTGCAAGTAAACCAGGGCCGCCCAGAGAATTCAGGGGGCCTGGGGCAAAGCAATTTTGGGGTCCCCTTCCATAAAAAAAAGTTGCAATACTATAGAATACTATATTCTTGTGGGGGCCTGGGGAACATTTCCTCACTCCCCCCCCCCCCCCCCGGGCGGCCCTGAAGTAAACAGAGCCATTCACAATCAATTGTCCTAGTTATGGGAGTCATTAAGATTCTAAGCCCCCATTAATGGCCCACACTTTGCATAATTACAATAGGACTTCAGAGTAATACTTCATATTTCTAGTTTTAGATACAAGAATGATACATTCATACAAATAGGATGACCACACTCAGTAGATTATAAACTTTGTAATCATAACTTACAAGAAGCCTTTTGCATAAAGCGTATTCCAGTTACATTATATTTACACTCATAAACATATTTCCATAAACATACGGAGTGCAACATCACACTACCAAAGGGGAAGCTGAGGCACCTGAGCCTGGCTGTGGCTGGAGAACAAAGGGGTGAGGTTGCTGCTGGAGTCAGAGCAGGACGAGGAGAGAACAAAGGTGGAGCCCATGGAAGCAGGGCATGGTGAATTCATGGGACCCTGCCCTATCTGATCTCCAGCCTAAGACTACCTCTTTGATGCTAGCCTACAGCCTTTCAGCTTCTGCATTGCAGGTGACTGATGAATTAGTACCTTATGTTGAAAAGGCTGCCTGGGGTCGCTGCAGATACTCACTGAGGGCACTTAACCCTGGAGAGGAAAGTCTGAACAGGACCCTACCTCAGTCAGCTGCCAAATGGGTTGCTTGGTCCCCAAGGCCCCGGTCTCAGAGTCGTTGAGGCTACAGGCCAGCTGTTGCAGAACAGTGGGGATCCTTGGGGTCCAGGACACTAAAGTAGTTACTAGCAAGAGACTGATGGAAGGTTCGGGCATAGCACAGACCCCTTGTGTCAGTGACTCTGCCCTGCCCCCCCCCCCGCCCCACGGGGGGGAGAAGGATAGCTCAGTGGTTTGAGCATTGGCCTGCTAAACCCAGGGTTGTGAATTCAATCCTTGAGGGCGGGGGGGGGGGCCTTAGGGATCTGGGGCAAAATCAGTACTTGGTCCTGCTAGTGAAGGCAGGGGGGCTGGACTCAATGACCTTCCAGTTCTATGAGATAGGTATATCTCCATACATATGTATATATATATAAAAGCTGAAAAACTGGCCAGTCAGGCTGGAGGAGCAGTTTATGGACAGAGGGTGACTCTCAATGGCTAGCAAGTGCCATCTCTTAATCCTGTGAATTCCCAGAGCAGTGTCTGCTAAGATTAGGATCAGATTTTCCAATGGGAGGTCTCACTGTGGACTGTAGATTAGCACACAAAGAACTGTACCTACAAGGGTGTTTTGGGGGGCAAATACCATGATGAAGTGGGCATTTCCTGCAATATTTTGACAGGTGTGCCTCAGTTTCCCTGTGTGCATTGCTACCCGGAGGTGCAAAAGGGTTAAATCTGCTCTTGGGGGCAGATTAAGAGACAGGAGGTGTTTGCATCACACAGCTGTCTGGGATGGTATGAAGGGGTCATTAAAGGACTGGTAGAAACTGACCCAAATCAATAGAGAATCTGGAAAGGCAATGGGAACCCCACTGGCCGTGATGTTCAGACCTAACAAACACCAACTAAAACAAAGGAGATTTCCCCTGTCACATCTTGGAAGAGAAGCACGACAAAGGCCCCAGCTAGAGAACAAAGGGGAAAGCTGATGGCTGGGAGACGGGCTGGCCTCTGGGGAGACAGAGAATCTCACACTTGGGACTGATAAGGAGACGAGACAAAAATGGATCCCATACCAGCTTGGCTGGCAGATTGCACTGGCTTGGCCACTGGGGACCAGGCCTTAACCTTTGCCTCTCTATGCTGCCCTAAGGATTTACAGATTCTGTAGCCAGGTGACTAATAAATTGTTACCTTGTTTTGAAAAGGCTGCCTGCTGTTGCTGCAAATACTCACTGGGAACAGTGTGTGCTGCAGGGGTCCAGTGTACACAAGCCTCCCGTAGGAGTCTGGAATCGCTACAGGGAGCCACAGAGAGAGAGAGAGAGGGAAGGATAGCTGGTTGCTGAGGGCCCAGTTTCAGAGTCTTGGAGGCCACGGGCCAGGCCCAGCCCAGTAAAGGTACTAGTTACAGGCTGGGCATAGACCAGACCCTGTGGATCTGTGACAAGAACTATTGTGTGCTCAGATTTGGGTGCATAAATGGTAAGCAACTACCAGATGTGGGAATACAAACTGGTGCTTCTTCACCTAAATCTCCCACAGAATTAGAGGCTCTGGCTGAAAGTGGGGCCGGGTGGAAGAATGTTCAAAACGGCGCCTTTCTGAGCGGTGGCCAAATGGCACGTAGGTCTCCAGCGGTGACATTGGTGCTTTACGACTTTTAATTTTCAACCTGTTCCTAAGAGCCAAAAGTGTCTGCTCACACGCGATGCCCAGGAGGCAGCCAGCTCCTCATGGAATCAGACCCAGCTCCTGAGGAACAAGTGAATGGATCTTCCTTGGAAAATGGGTTTGTCGGAGGCTTTAGAATTCTTTAATTAGCAAATGTGTTTTTCTTTTAGAAACTAAACAGGGACACTCGCTATTTCAGTGACGCCAGTGCAGCTCATTGGTGTGACTGATTATTTCAGGGCAACTTTCTCACAAATCCATTTAGCTACAGCCGTGCAGGTTTCCGAAATCGTGTGGTTCCCTTTGATCATCCCACAGCTCTCCCTGTCAGCAGCGCCTGCCAGCTGGAACCTGGGGAACAAAGAGCAGGAGTCACCGGGTGTTTAGGTTTACTGAGCAAGACCTTTAGCAGCCATCCCTCGTTCGGAGGGGTGGCCTGTCTCCATATTAGCTTCCTTCAGCCGTACTTTTCTACAGAGCCCTAGTTAGTAACATGCCTCCCAGAGTGGGAAAGGAGCTGGGCAGGCTCAGTTCAGTGCTGGAAAACATCGCAAAATCCACCACGATGACTGACCAACACTGCCCATGGGTGTGTTCAAACCCCACTGCTGGGGAGCCAAGCCGAGGAGCCCAGCAGCACCTGTGTGGTCCTACTTTGTACAACGGTGCCACGTGCACTGAGTGGTGTCTGAAGTGGGTGGAGCTTAGTTGGTGGGTGGGGCTTGGGAAAATACCACCACTTTCCTCACCCCCACTGCAGCCCTGGTGGAGGTAAAATGTGCTGTTCACAGGGCCGGCTCTGGCTTTTTTGCCGCCCCAGGCAAAAAAGCCTCCGAGGGGAGGGCGGCGAGCCCCGGAGGGGGCTCCACTCTCCCCCCGGCGGCCGGGGGGAGGGCGCCAGGGGGGAGGGCGGCCGGAGCCCTGGGAGGAGGGCGGCGAGCCCCGGCCGGGGATCCGCTCTCCCCCCCGGCAGCCAGAGCGCCGGGGGCAGGGCGTCGAAACCCGGCCGGGGATCCGCTCTCCCCCCCGGCGGCCAGAGCGCCGGGGGCAGGGCAGCGAAACCCGACCGGGGCTCCGCTCTCCCCCCGGCGGCCAGAGCGCAGGGGGCAGGGCGGTGAAACCCGGCCGGGGATCCGCTCTCCCACCCCGGCGGCCAGAGCACCGGGGCAGGGCGACAAAACCCGACCGGGGCTCCGCTTTCCCCCCGGCGTCCAGAAAGCAGGGGGCAGGGCGGCGAGCCCGGCCGTGGCCCCGCTCTCCCCAGCGGCCGGAGCGCCGCGCCGCCCCCCTCCAGGTGTCGCCCCAAGCACAAGCTTGGTGGGCTGGTGCCTGGAGCCGGCCCTGGCTGTTCAGCAGGAGAGGGGACCTGACCCTGCATTAACGAGCACATTGCAGGACAAGGGCCACCTCACTCAGGCAGAGCAGCACAGCTGAGAGCTAACATAGGCGTGAACAGCTAAGTGCCTCTTCACAAGACAAGGATTGTGCTTAAACTCGTGTCTTCCCAGACATGCCCATTCTCCAAACAGACCCTGACCCCCCTTTATCCTGTGGTCTTGCAAGCACATGGGGGCTTGAGACTGACCAGCTCTCCATGGGGAGGTCTCTGCCTGGTGCTTAACTTTACTTGTGCTCACAGACAGCCTCTGCTCCTGCTAGCACTAGAGAGCACTAACCTTGTGTTCCCACTTGTGCACCATGCAAGACACACTCAGTTTCAAAGCCAAAGTAGGAACCATGAACACTCACAGTGTTTCATCGAACGTGGAGCCGTCCACCCAGGTCCATTTCCTCTCTGGGGATGTAACACTGAGTCCAAGCCAGACCAGGTTCAGTTGTGGAATACTCAGTACATACGCCTGTAAGTGACAGGACGGAGGAATCTGGGTGAATATAACCTGCTAGAATTCTCTGGCTTCTTTGCTCTCTCGGCAAATGACGGAAGAGAACCTGCTACACAGCTCTGCAATAGATATAAACCCAATTTCTGATGTTTCCCTTTCCCAATCTCACCCCCTCCTTCCCTTCCACATATCAATGATATTTTAACGTGCTCTGTAATAGATTTTTCTTAAGCCAAATGTCATACAGCTGGGGCGTTGTTGTTGTTTTGCTGCAAGCCCATTGTATTGCATTATAACTAGCGACACTCATCTCTCAAGTATCAGGGGGTAGCCGTGTTAGTCGGTATCCACAAAAACAACAAGGAGTCCGGTGGCACCTTAAAGACTAAGGCCTGGTCTACACTAGGCTTTTATGTCGAATTTAGCGCCGTTATATCGAATTAACCCTGCACCCGTCCACACCAGGAAGCCATTTAGTTCGACATAGAGCTCTCTTTAAATCGATTTCTGTAATCCTCCCCAACGAGAGGAGTAGCGCTAAATTCGACATGGCCATGTCGAATTAGGCTAGGTGTGGATGGAAATCGATGCTAATAGCTCCGGGAGCTATCCCACAGTGCACCACTCTGTTGACGCTCTGGACAGCAGTCCGAGCTCGGATGCTCTGACCAGCCACTCCCCCGGGAAAATTTGAATTCCTTTTCCTGTCTGGGCAGTTTGAATCGCAGTTTCTGTTTGGACACCGTGGTGAGCTCAGCAGCAGTGGCAACGATGCAGAGCTCTCCAGCAGAGATGGCCGTGCAATCCAATAGAAAGAGGGCCCCAGCATGGACGGATCGGGAAGTCTTGGATCTCATCGCAGTGTGGGGCGATGAGTCCGTGCTTTCGGAGCTGCGCTCCAAAAGACGGAATGCAAAGATCTATGAGAAGATCTCTAAAGCCATGGCAGAGAGAGGCTACAGCCGGGATGCAACGCAGTGCCGCGTGAAAATCAAGGAGCTGAGACAAGGCTACCAGAAGACCAAAGAGGCAAACGGACGCTCTGGATCCCAGCCCCACACATCCCGTTTCTACGAGGCACTGCATTCCATCCTAGGTGCGGCCGCCACCACCACCCCACCCCTGACCGTGGACTCTGAGGATGGGATATTGTCCGCGGCCGGTTCCTCAGCGGACGGGGAAGAGGAGGAAGGAGATGAGGAGGACGAGGCAGTAGACAGCGCTTACAACGCTGATTTGCCCGACAGCCAGGAGCTCTTCATCACCCTGACAGAGATCCCCTACCAACCCTCCCCAGCCGTTACCCCAGACACAGATTCAGGGGACGGATCAAGCAGTAAGTGTTTTAAATATCTAAACATTTATTTACAACAAAACTGGCGTATTTAAAATATTAACATTAGCTAAAGTGCTTTAAAACATGTAAACATTTATTTGCAACAAAACAGGAAGATTGAAAATATGAACAGTGGGTAAAGTGCTTCAAAACATGTAAACAGTAAAGTCAAACAAAAGGGGAATCAGTGCAAAGTGTATCATGATTTGTCTTTTTTTGGGCGCCTCAATATATAGTCCGAACCATTTTCAAAAAATTGCACAATGTCCGCTTCATGATTATAATGCCCAAAACCCTGCAGTCATTTGTCCCTCCAAGGGCACCTAAGCCAGGAACTGGTCAATGTAACCGGGGATAGAGGCGAGATCCTCCGGGGAGAACTCCTCATACACCTCCTGCAGGTGTTTTTCCAGCCTCATCAGCAGGTTCCTGGGCAGGGAGAGCTTATTAGGCCCCCCGTGGTAGGACACGTTTCCCTGCCACAACGCCAGCAGGTACTCCGGGATCATGGCCTTGCACAGCAGTGCAGCAAATGGCCCCGGTTTCTGCAGGCTGTCCCGGAGCATCTTCTCCTTCTGGCTCTCGGAGACCTTCAGGAGGGTGATGTCTGGCATGGCTCCCTGCTGTGAATTAGGTATGGGAAAGTTAGTATTGGGACTGCTTGCCCGTCCCTTTATAGAACTGCAACCGCCGGTTTACAGCCACGCGGTTTACAGCCGCGAGGGGGTGGGACAGGGGCAGAGTTCATGCTTGCAGGATTGCTGCCAGCAGAGACTCGCATTGCTTTCTATTTGAAAGGAGGCCAGTGCCACTCTTAAAGTTTTAAGCAGCCACAAGTCTACGGCTTACCATGTTTGCCATCTAGACAAAGTCCGGTGTCCTGCCCTGCTCCTCAGCTCGCCACAGCAAGACCGCAGGCACTGTAGGCGAGGGCCGAAAATTCGACCTTGTCCTCAGTGCGCGTGTGATAGGTGCTCTGCATGGTCTTGTTCACAGAGAAAGACTATGTTCTCTGTTCACAGATACATTGCTCTGTCTCAGGAATTCACTCCCTTTTTCCAATTCCCACAGCCACATCTGCCCAGAGGCTAGCGCACATTAGGAGGAGGAAGAAGAGGACACGGGAAGACATGTTTGCTGAACTAATGGGATGCTCCCGAGCACAGGCAGCCCAGCAGACACAGTGGAGGGAGAACTTGTCCCAAATGCACAGGGCAAACATGGAACGGGAGGAGAGGTGGCGACAGGAGGACAGGCAGGATACTCAAACGCTGCTTGGACTAATGAGGGAGCAAACGGACACGCTCCGCCGCCTTGTGGATGTTCTGCAGGACCGGAGGCAGGAGGAGAGAGCCCCGCTGCAGTCTCTCTGTAACTGCCCTGCCCCGCCACCAAGTCCCATACCCCCCTCACCCAAAGTCCAAACACGGAGGGGTGGAAGGGGCCGTGAAAAATTTCACTCCACCCCTGCGGACTGCTCTACCACTAGAAGGCTCTCATTCCCCAAAATTTGAAAAGTCCTTTCCTACCCGCCTCACACAAGACCCCGTCCAAGTTTCACCCCCCCGTTCCATGTGCGGTTGTTAATAAAGAATACGTTTATGTTCATTTCTGTTTCCATCCTCTTCTTTTGGAGGGGAGTCTGTCTGAAGGGGGGGGGAAGGGGCTTGGTCATTGGACAGGACAGTCACCTTTAGCAGGGGGCAGGTGCAGCAGCAGGGCACATATACAGTGCAGTGACTAGTTATCCTGGTCAGTCTGGGAGGTGGTTTTCATGTTTTGTGTGGTGGGGGCGGTGGTGTTGCTCTGTGACTTGGTGGCGGGGGAGGGCAGTTACAGATCTTATGCAGCGGTCCTTACCCTGCATCACAGAGCCGCGCAGCAGGGGATCTGTAACCCTCCTCCCCCTGCAAGACAGTCACATAGCCGACACATACACGCAGTCCCGGCCAGGAGGGCTGGCAGGCTCCGTTGAAACAACCAGTCCACCACCGCGGAGCCTGTCATTCCTGGAGTTTAGAGGCATCATTTGCATCACAACCCTAAACCCGCCCCCCGCCACAGTCTGTGTCCCAGGTTTAAAACATTCCCGCGAAAACAGTAATAAAGACAACGGTGTCCATTAACAAAACAGAACAGACTTTATTTTTTGGGAAGGGGGTGAAGGGGGTATGTAAGTGGAGAGGATAGTCGACGGCAACTGGGTAAAGAAAGGGGGGCAAGTTCTGCCTCTGTGTCCACAAACTTAAAAGTCACTGGGTACCCTGCTCAGCCTTGAAACTGGCTTTCAAAGCCTCCCGGATGCACAGCGCGTCCCGCTGGGCTCTTCTAATCGCCCGGCTGTCTGGCTGGGCGTAATCAGCAGCCAGGCTATTTGCCTCAACCTCCCACCCCGCCATAAAGGTCTCCCCCTTGCTCTCACACAGATTGTGGAGCACACAGCAAGCTGCAATAACGATGGGGATATTGGTTTCGCTGAGATCACAGCGAGTGAGTAAGCTTCTCCATCTCCCCTTGAGACGGCCAAAAGCACACTCCACCACCATTCTGCACTTGCTCAGCCGGTAGTTAAACAGTTCTTTTTCTGTGTCCAGGGCGCCAGTATAGGGCTTCATGAGCCAGGGCATTAGTGGGTAGGCTGGGTCCCCGAGGATCACTGTAGGCATCTCCACATCCCCCACAGTTATCTTGTGGTCCGGGAAGTAAATACCTTCCTGCAGCCGTCTAAACAGACCAGAGTTCCTGAACACGCGAGCGTCATGAACCTTGCCCGGCCATCCGACGTAGATGTTTGTAAACCGTCCCCGATGGTCCACCAGTGCTTGCAGCACCATTGAAAAGTAGCCCTTTCTATTGATGTACTGGCTGGCCTGGTGGCCCGGTCCCAGGATAGGGATGTGAGTCCCATCTATAGCCCCACCGCAGTTTGGGAATCCCATCGCAGCGAAGCCATCTATGATGGCCTGCGCGTTTCCCAGGGTCACTACCTTTGACAGCAGTACCTTGACGATTGCCTTGGCTACTTGCATGACAACAACCCCCACGGTAGATTTGCCCACGCCAAAGTGGTTCGTGACTGACCGGTAGCTGTCCGGCGTTGCAAGCTTCCAGAGGGCTATGGCCACTCGCTTCTGGACAGTCAGGGCTGCTCGCATGCGGGTGTCCTTGCGCTTCAGGGCAGGGGACAGCAAGTCACAAAGTTCCAGGAAAGTGCCCTTCCGCATGCGAAAGTTTCGCAGCCACTGGGATTCATCCCAGACCTGAAGCACTATGCGGTCCCACCAGTCCGTGCTTGTTTCCCGGGCCCAGAATCGCCGTTCAACAAAATCCACATGCCCCATTGCCACCGTGATGTCCTGGGCGCTGGGGCTCGTGGTTTCTGACAGCTCTGTGCTACTCTCCGACTTCAGGCCCTCACGGCGGTGCCGTAGCCTCCTCGCCTGATTACTCTGCATCTGCCTCAGGGTAAGGTGTATGATAAGGTGCGAGGCGTTGAGAACGGCCACAACTGCAGCGATGGTCGCAGCGGGATCCATGATCGCAGTGCTGTGGCGTCCGCGCTGTCACTGATCAAAAAGTGCGCGAACTGATTTCCCGCCGGCGCTTTCAGGGAGGGAGGCAGGGCGGTAGTGACTGACGGATGACGACAGTTACCCAAAAGCACCCTCGCCACATTTTTTTACCCAGAAGGCATTGGGGGCTCGACCCAGAATTCCAATGGGCAGCGGGGACTGCGGGAACTGTGGGATAGCTGCCCACAGTGCACTGCTTCCAATGTCGACGCTTTCCCTGGTACTGTGGACTGACAAAGTCGAATTACTGTCCTTAGTGTAGACACACACGTTCGACTTTCTAATATCGATTGCACATATTCGATTTAACTAAAATCGAACTACTCTCGTAGTGTAGACATACCCTAACAGATTTATTTGGGCATAAGCTTTCGTGGGTAAAAAACCCACTTCTTCTCAAGGGGGGGTTAAGCCATTTTTATTTACTGTACCATCTCCTCCTTGTCTTGGATCACGAGCATTTGAGAGCGCTTCGCTGAGCAGTCCTCACGACTCTCATTCCACGTTTTACTTTCTTTAGAGACCCAATAGCACTTGTTCTTGTGCGGCAGCCAGTCAGCGGGACACAGTTTGCACCCACAGCCCTCTAGAAATAGACATGGAAAAGGCAGCATTAAATAGGCCGGAAGCTTCTGAACAGTGCTGAGCTTCCCTATGTTCACGAGGGGCTTTCAAACGATAAACATTCTCAGCCAAGACATTTCTCTTTATTCGTGGTTTGTTTGAGGAAAGGCCCATTGGAGGTGCAGGGCAGGAGGGAGGTGCTCTGGCAGAGCTGTGATGTGAATAGGGATTCATAAGATCGGGCACATAATTCACATTTTACAGGCCCAGTATCACACAATGCATTTCCCCCCAAGGAGCACCGAACCTCTGAAACGAAAGACACAACAAAACTGTTGTGGGAAGGGATTCTCATAGGAAGTTCTGAGGGCTGCGTGCTGATCACACACACACACACAAAACCACCTTACAAGAACGGTATTGCGGTTGTAAAGTCAAGCACTCAAAAGTTAGGACGTGTCAGAATTAAGGTTACCTGTGCAATCTTTATTGGGCCCCCTTGTGCATATGCATTATGATCCAGTCTGTAATTACATAGTCACATACCAGTTTTCTCCACCAAACCCCTACTTCATTCAGGGCACATGACAGACGGTGCTGCTGACTTACTGAGCAGTTATTCAATATTTTGTTTTCTTCTCATTCAATGTGTAGCCCCAGTAGTACTATTCAAAACCGGTCTGAAGACAGAACTATTAATTTCCTCCTGGGCTTTCCTCTGGCACCCAGCTCTAGTATCTGAGTGCTTCACAAAACAGTAATGAATTTTCACAGCACCCCTGTGAGATCAGAGGATTGCAATATTTCCATTTACAGATGAGGAACTTAGGCATGGAGAGTTTGAGGTCAAAAGTATCCACTAATACTGGGTGCCCAACCTGAGACTCAGACTCTCAAAAGGTACTTAGGCAGGAATAAGGTACCTGAAAAAGCAGGGCATTTAAAGTACTTAGTATTCTATAGAACTTCATATGTTCAGGGCACAGCTCCCATCAATTTCAGTTACAGCTGTGACCCGCTCAGCACTTCTACAAATCACACCCCAGGCTCTCAATTGAGACACCCAATGAATGAGGAACACAGTGAATAACCACTTGTGAAAGGATTGGTTTAAATAACTCTCCCCCACCAGCAGCCCCAATGTACTCTCTCCCCCGCCTTCTGGCTCTTGTTCCTTCTGCATTCAACTCAGGCAACTTCCTCCTCCATGCTGCCAGGGCTCAGGAGGACACAGCAAGCATGTGCGAGACAGGCTCCCTGCTCTCAGTTCACCCAAACCTGCATGGAACGTCCTACTCAGCCCCCTGTAGCTCTGGGCTGAAGCATGCTCATTGTTGATAGAATCATTTAATTTCCAAAGGCTTATAACTTGGCCAAATTTGAGCGGATATTCACAGGCGCTTCAAAAGGCAGACAGATCCCTGATTCGTAAGCCACTCCCATGCCAAATTTCAAGTCTCTATTCCACAGCATGGGGATGGCACTAGAGCTTCCGAAAGACAGTCTCCAGAATTTTTTTAACATGAGGAAAACCATGTATTTTCACTAGGCTGGTTCTCAGAAACAGCTGGACAGTTTTGGCTGAAACTAAAAAAAAATTAAAAAAATCAGGCTGAGGCAGACCCCTGGCATGGCAAGGTTCAGCCTGAACATT